CTCTCTCTCTCTCTCTCTCTCTCTCTCTCTCTCTCTCTCTCTCTCTCTCTCTCTCTCTCTTTGCAGTAGAGAAACATGACAGGAGAGGGAGAGGACAAGGCAAGACAAGACAAGACAAAAGGGACTGCTTTAGCTGATGCTGCTGCTGCTGCTGCTGATGATATGAGGGCACATGTGAGCGACCACTTTAATCACCCCCACGCGGTAGACAGCCTGTCTGCCTCATTTTCACTTCTTCTTCTTTTCCCCTTTTGATTTGGTGATGTTTCAGTGTGGTTTCATTTCCGACAACAAAAATTACCCATTAAGTAGTCATCCCATCAGTACTCAGGGAAAGTTCTATCTATCTGCCCACACAGTACCGTACAACCTGTACAGTGGTACTGTTGCACAAACTACTACTTTTCTGTGTTCTAATTACTTAAAAACAACAAAATTTTCCATTCTCAACTTTGGAAGAATAAACAGCGCTTCCACTTGAGTACTTTAAAGTACGGTGAATTAGAGCGAGATAATAATGAGGGAAATGGAAAGGGAGCGCTTTTTCTCACTTTGTGGATTTACCCAAATTACTTCTCACACTTGAGACAAACTTAGGTTTTAAGTAACTGAAAAGGTAAGGTAAATATTTGCTTGCACAGAAGCTGCGGATGTTGCAGCAACCAAAAAATCATCAATAAATGAAAAGCAGGGCAAACCCAGCCAGCAGCAGTCAATGATAGAGAAATAAAAGTGGCAGACAAAATGCAGAAGCAGTCGTGGCGTGTGTGTGTGTGTCTGTGTATGTGTGCATATGAGGCTCAAGTAAAAAAGAAAAAGAAGAAGAAAAACGAAACTGATAAGATGTGCCGAAGACTTTGCTGAAAAGCCAAAAAAGTAAGCAGAAGTGAAAAGTAGACCCAAAAGTGAACCTCGCCACATTTCTTCTTAATAGCACTCTAGAGCATTACACACACAGTCTCTAGAGAACGGCAGCCAGCAGTCTTTTGCCGCCGCTAAACACAGGACTCGACTGGCGAGCTGGGGAAATACGGCGATGGCAATTCATCGATTGATTTGCTCGTTACTCACTTACTCATTTTGGCAGTTGGTAGTTGTTACTACCAGTAAACAGTAGACTTTGGCAGTCATCGATACCAACCACCACCACAACTACCACTTTTCCCTGTTTTGCTAGACCAATTGTGTGAGAAGATGCTGCTGATCAGTTTTTGAACTTAACTAAACATGTCAAGCAGCTAACTACCAGTCATTAAAACCACTCCTGATGCTGCTGCTGGGAAAGTACAGAAAATCATGAACGAAACGTCGTGAGCGACATAGTGATACAAATGGGAGTAAGAAAACTAGTAGTGTAGTACTCAAAAAAGAAAGAGATTTAGCTAGTTTACATGATAAGCAGATGAAAAGAGAATGAGGACAAGAGAAGGTACAGACAAAAGTTCAATTGGTTGAAAAGAGACAAAAATGATGACGAAAGTACAAAATGACAACAAAACCAAAGGGGCGACTTGCCAAAATCATTTTCTCTCTTTGATAAGAAGCAAAGTTTTTATTGGTAAAATTGGTGATCAGCAGTTGAACTGCTACTGTTGATGGCAGTTGGCAGTGATAGTGTTTAGACCAATTCAAACCGGTGGATGACGAAAGTTACTGTTTTATTTGGCAATCAACTTGTGTTTGAGTTGGATTTTAGTTTGATTTTGGTACACTCGTGAACAAATTGGGAACTAAAAAACTAAAAATTTACTTTGTTGCGTTATTGCTCCAAAATTTTTTAGTTAAACTTGTTTTACAAAATATAATAGTAAAAAAAACATTTTTGCTGTTTATTTAAATTTTAAGCAAAGTTTTATTAGAAACGACAAAAAATGCGGTGTTTAATCTAATTTAGAGTTAAACTTAAATAATCCTAAAAGTGTGTCAATTGCTAAATAATCGCGTTATTAAAGTCTGAAAGTACTATTGAATTAACAGTAAAATGACAGCTCATTGAGACTCATCAAATGATGAGTTGTCCTCTTTTCTACCAGTTTAGCCATGACTGCATCAAAGTTGATGGAAGATTAGATTGTCGCATCATCAATGTTTTCTAGACATCACATGTGAGCTTGTTTTTGAAAAAGAAAGGGATGAATAGAGAAAAATGTATGTCAAGACAAAACTGACTGATTGAAAAAATTAAGTGACTTTAGAATTCTACTTTGTTTTAGAAATGCATGTGATTATGCAAAAATAAAACATTTTGTGTGTGACTGATTGACTGATTTAGCAAAAACTTATTTTTTATAAAACAACACTAAATTTTGAGTTGATAAAAAATTATATGTTGATATTTATTGCAATTGAAACTGATTAAAAACTTACTGGGTTTCTGTTATTGAAATCTAAGCGGTTTACATTTTTGAATTTTGACAGTTTGTGTTTTTTGTTTTCATTTCTGTTCACCAGACGGCAGAAGGCTTTTGGCACTGCAAACACTTTTTGCGCCGATGCAGCAATTTCAGCGGCAGTCGTCTGCTGCTGCATCAGTTGTGTTTACATCTCACACACACGCACACGCTTTTCTTGCTGTCACAGCGCGCCCGTTGCCGTTTTGCTTTTGAAGAACTTGATTTGTCTTGTAAAGTAAGTTCTTTCATTCACGCCACCGTTTCGCGACAGTGATCAATGTTTCTCAAAGTCATTCTGACAAAGCTTTATCTTACCACTTGTAGGCTGTACCACTAGTAGTAGTAGTAGTAGAGAAACACAAAGCGCTGTGCAAAATGGCTCGCAAGCGACCGGCAGATGATGACATTGACTGGGTGGCCCTTCTCGATGACGATCTGGATGACGTGTTGACGGAGGTGGCCAACAAGGCTAGTAGCTCTAGCAAGGCGACCACATCTTCGCTGGTTGCTGGTAAGAGTTCTTCAAGTCAGCCTTCAGGTATCGAAATGATCACCATTGGTGGTGATGAGGAGTATGACGAAGATGATGATGAGCAGTTGGCAAAAGCGATTGCCCTTTCGCTGCAAGACAACTCTCGCAGTGGAAGCAGCTCCGGCTCCATGCCCGATGTTATGTTCCTCCCAGGTTGCTCTAGTAAGTCCCTATTATCCCTTTTGAGTGCACTGCATTTTTGTGTTTCACCTCAACACCTTTTTCTATTCTTTTTCAGATTCAACCGTTACCTCTTTCCCTTCCACTTCCGCCTCAGCAGCCTCTTCGTCCTCGCACAAAATGTCCGACGCTGATCTGGCGGCCATTTCAGGCGCTCTAAAAGATCTGGAGCATAGTTTCAACGCAAAACAGGCTGTCGCCGATGAGGCGACGCTGAAGACCATTGAGCTGATGGAGATCGCCGACCAGCTTGAGCTGGAAGACTCAAAGCTGGAGTCGTACAATCCACAGCACGCGGCCACCATTCGCTCGCTGCCCATTGTCCACCCCGACTTGGAGCAACTGGACCCTAACCCGGACATTTACCAGCTGTTCCGCGAGTTTGACGACCTTTTCTTTAAGGGCTTTCTCAAGCAGACGGCCCTTCGTCTTGACTGGGCAAAGAACTTCTACAGCTGTGCTGGCGCCTTCTATCCGCAAAAGGACGGGTAAGCTCTCTAAGATCTTCCTTTACTAACTACCACTACCTTTAACCGTCCTAAACACACAACTAACATCATTCAATCATTCTCTCTTGCCACAGCATTCCGACGATTCTGCTCTCGGCGAACCTGCTCACGCTGCGACCTCGTCGCGACCTGGTGGAGACGCTGATCCACGAGATGATTCACGCCTACATCAGCCTGAAGGGAGGTCGCGACACCGGCGAACACGGCGTCGTCTTTCACAGTCACATGAAGCGCATCAACGACCAGGCGGGCACGAACATCACCGTCTACCACAGCTTCAACGACGAGGTGAGCTACCTGCGCAAGTACATCTGGCGCTGCTCGGGCGCCACCTGCCAGGCCGCCCATCCCTACCGCGGCTACGTCAGTCTGCCCACCAAACGCCGCCCCAGCAAGTGGGACAAGGCCTATCGCCTCCACCTGGAACGAGGCTGCACTGGCACTTTCCAGCAGGTGAGCGACAACTTTGCCGACGATGCTAAGCAAGCGCAGATAAAGGCGTCTTTGAAGAAGGCAGAACAGGAGAAGGAGCGCGAGAAGAAGAAAGCCCAACTGGAGCTGGAGAAGGAGAAGAAGAAAGCGGAACGAGAAAAGGAAAAGGAGAGGAAGAAGGCCGAAAAGGAGGAGCAGAAGAAGAAAGAGGCTGCGGCTAAGTTCTTCGAAAAGAGTAAGAAGTGATTTGAATTTGCCAAAATTGAATCTTTTAATTACTTTACATTACTGTGCATTACTTTGATACCCACTACTTTCTGCAATTTTCTGTTACTAGCAGTACCTTACTACTGATCTCACTTTAACTGTATCGAGCTTGTCATTTCTATGTGATTAACTGCAAACTGTTTGCTCACAACAATGCTAAACTCAATCTCAAAACTAATCAAATTGTGTTTGCAAAACTGGAACAACATTTGTGATATTTTTTACTTTTGAAACTTAAAATAAAGTTTACAGCGGTAGCGGTGGGGCGCACATTTCTGCGTCCAATGCCACCATTGCCACTGTTGAGTCGCTTCCCTCGCTCACTTTTTCTCTAGAGACACATTGACCCTGCGTTGTCTCTCAGTTGTCTCCAGAGAGCCACGCCGACAGCATTTTGTCCCTTTCTTTCTAGCAACGACCGCCGCGCCATTTGCAACCGCAACCGTTCGCCATCAGCCTCAGCCGATCACTTTTTCTTACGCTTTTCTTTACCACACTTTTCATGACTTTTATTTAACAAATGATTTAAAGTACATCTGCCTTTAATATCAAGTCACCTCTTTGCGACACTCTTTCATCTTTGCAACCACCTTTTTTTCTTCTACATGGCTGAACTAAATCCGCCGGACAAAAATGACGAACGCCGGCAGCGGTCGGATCACTTCGAAGAGGACATTGATGACCTCATGTCAAAAATTAGTGTTGACTTTCTCCTGGTAAGAAACTTTTGATTTTGACAAAACTATTTGTGTTTGCTTACTATCGTTGATTTTTTTCTTTACAGGACTTAACCCATGCTTTCTTTACCAATCGTGATACTCTGGCTTTCGGTCAAGCTGAAACCATTGATCCATTTCTCCAAAAATGTAAGTTTTCTCTACTCTTTTCTTTACATGTTGATCTTTACTAACGCTTACACTTTGTTTGCAGATGAGAAAATCAAGCAGATGATCGTCAACAGTCGTCCTAAACCCGACGATTTTCAAATCCTTAAAACCATTGGATCAGGCGGTCACTTCAGCGAGGTGAAACTGGTCCGCCGAAAGCACACCAAAAAGGTCTACGCTATGAAGATTCTTCCAAAAACTAAAATGGTAATTCAAAATTGTTCATTGTTAATCAAATCATTTTATAACTAACATTTTTCTTTTTGATTTATTGACAGCTTAAAAATACAAGTCAAGCCTGTTTCTGGGAAGAGCGCGCCATCGGCGTTTCCGCCAAGTCGGAGTGGATTGTGAAGGTTAACGCTTTGCATGTTTATTGACAAAACAAAACTTAACCGCAAAACTTATCACATTTTTTTGCAGACCAACTACGCATTTCAAGACATTAAGAACCTCTACCTGGTAATGGACTTCATGCCGGGCGGAGACCTTGTCACTCTCATTGACAAGAATGGGACCTTTTCGGAGAAGTGTACCAAGTTTTACACCGCCGAGGTGATCCTCGCCCTGGACGCCCTCCACAGCATGGGCTTCCTCCACCGGGACATCAAACCGGACAACATGCTGCTGGACCACCAGGGTCACATCAAGCTAACTGACTTTGGCGTCAGTGCGCGCATGGACGATCAGGGACTGGTCCACGAGGAGGCCGTAGTCGGCACCGAAGGATACATCTCTCCTGAAGTGCTCAACGCAAAGGAGACCAAGAAAGGCTACGGACGAGAGGTGTAAGTGGTGGTGATGGTGGTCATTTAACTGATAAATATGTTAACTAAACNTTTCCCCCCCTCCCCCCTCCCTCCTCGTTTGCTGTAGCGACTTCTGGTCACTCGGTGTCACCGTCCACCTGATGCTCATCGGCAAATGGCCCAAAACCGAAACGGTCCAGAAGCCCAGCCGCAAGAAAATCAAATTGAACAAGAAGAGCGACTTAAAGAAGAGTGGCTTTTCCTTTCCCAAGAACTGCACAATCAGCAATGAGGCGCGCCACCTCATCCGCTCTCTTCTCGCCGGTCGTGACGAACGCCTCGGCCGAAACGGCATTGACGAGTTCAAAGAGCATCCCTTCTTTGCTAATGAAAAGTGGAGCTTTGAGAACATTCGCCAGTGCACCGCTCCAAACCCTCCAGAGCTTTCGGGAGTTGATGACACCAGCAACTTTGACAATGTGACCGAACGGAAAAGCAGCAGCAGCAAAGGTGGCAGCAGCCTTCCTGTGCCGGAAACGACTTTTGAGGGAAACCACCTTTCCTTTGTTGGTTTTACCTACTCAGGTGACTACCAGCTGCAGTGGGGCACAGCACTTTCTGCCACTGCCGCTGCTGGACAATCAGAACCAGAGAACAGCAGTGGTTTGCCAGGCAAAACAAACGGCGGCTCAGTGAGCAACCCTCCCAAGCAAAACTCAGCGCAAACGGACGACGTCGTTAGGGTGAGTAGACAAAACTTTCTTTTGAAAACACCCATGAACTATCTCTAGTTTAACTTACTTTTCTACTTTTCCTAGATCGAAAAAAGCCAGATTGTGGGCGAACAGGAGAAGATGACCTACGAGGAGCTGGAGTGCAAGTACCACCTGGCGCTGCGCCAGATTAAAAAGCAGGGAAATGAGATTGGGGCGCTAAGCAAGAAGAAGTTAGAGCTGGAAAAAAAGCTCGCCGAGCCCAATGACTCATTTGGCAAGGCACCAGTTCCGAACCAAGCGCCTGTGAGATGGCAACTGCAACCGCTGACTCACCGGCAGGCTTGAGGATAGCGTGTTCACGTGTAAACTCAGTGATTTTGAAACTTGCATGTGTTGTTTTTTCACCCTGTATCTTAGAGTTGTGCATCTCACTGTATTCAGTCAGTCGTTCTTTTGCATTCGTTCAATAAAGTTCTTTAGTTTAGCTGACGTTTTTCCTGTTTTTTGACACATGTGAATGTACTTTTTGGTCAACTTAGCTATTTTAGTAGTGTAATTTCTCAAAGGTTGGAAAAATGGTTGTCACAATAGAAGTAGAAAGCATCATGGACACCAGTTCGAAAAGCATCTGCGCAGCCAAAGTAAAGTAGTACTCGCCGAGTCTGGTGTAAATGGGCAAGTGAAGATTGATGTAAACCATCTTGAAAACTACCGTTACTACTGATTAGCTGGCATTTTTTGAAAAAGTTAGATATTAAATCGTGTTTATTATAAGTTTGAGTGAATGAGTTTAACAAAAAAGTTTTAAAAAAACAATAAAAATGTCAAAAAGTATGGTCATCAATTTTCTTGATTATTTTAGCAGCATTTTATCATTATTTGATTTTCTTTTGCAAAATGTTTTCATGACAATCTTAGCTTTTTGCTGACAAAAAAATCAAGAATATGAAAACATTATTGAAAGTTAAACTGCAATTACAGAACAAAACAAGTAAATGAAAAAATGCGAACAAGAGCAAATGCTTATTAGTTGTAAATTGAGAGTGAAACAAAAATGCGGTTGTAGTTTGAGTGTAAAAACAAAATCTGCGTAAAAACTGTGCTTAACAATAAATAATAAAAGGCTACTGAGGGTACTTAGCACCAGAGCGAGTGAGCTGCTAACATTTTCTAATCTTGATCAGCTAAATTATTCTGCTTAAAAGTGAACGGCTGAAAGGCGTACCCATCTCCGATGTAGAACTTGGACTGAAACTCCACCCAGTGCAGACGGATGGCGTGGAGGAAGGCGCTCAGACCTTCCATCAAAATGAGAATGGCCACCGTGAGCACCGCCCAGACGGCGAAGGTGCAGAAGAGGATCACCGGGCGGCCGTACAGTCCGCCCACCTCCATGACCATGCCCTTCTTGAGGATCATATTCCAGAGGACCTCACTGAGCTGACTGTGCGCCAGACTGAGGGCCCACAGACGGAGGTAGGAAGCGGTGTGGGAGATGGAGCCGAGGCAGAACTCGATGGTGTGAATTGCCTGGTGAATGTAGATGTCGCCGGTGCTCTCGCCCTCGTGGTCACCACTACCACCACCGTGACTTTCATCCTGTGCCTTGTCAGTTTTTGAGCTGCCAGCTTTGGAGTGAGCATTATTGTTATTATTATTATTACTGCTGTTGGCGCCTCCGTTTGAGGTAGTTGCGTTTGCCCCGTTGTTGTGGCCTCCGGAAAGCTCGTTCATCTCCAGGTCATTGCTGGTAACCAGTCTCTTCTTCGACCGACCTGAGCAGCAGACGAGAATGGTGGGCTTGACGAGGAGCATGATCGGCACTGAGCCGAGGGCCACCAGCAGCAGCACCGTTTGGAGGAGTTTTTTGTGCGGAAACCACGGTCGCAGGTAGACGACGTCCTCCGGGTACTTGTAGAGGAACATGTTGATGAAGTCGATGAGAATGGAGGGCGCATTGGCGGGCGGGTCGAAGACGGTGAGCCACTTGGCGAAGATGAGCGTGATCATGTAGCCGAAGAGGGAGAGGAGAAAGAGAATTTGGGGAATGAACTCAAAGAGGACGCTCACCAGGGAGCGATTGTTGATGTGATTGACCAGGGAGAGCATCACCCCGAAGAGCATCTGCATGACGCCGAGGATGACGCTCACCTTCATCTTGAAGCTGTTCGTGAAGATGATCTTATTGTCAGGGGCCAGCTGCCAGGCGGGGTCAATGCCGAAGGGGTAGACGGAGTCGGGGCGCTTCTCGAGGTAGCGCACCTTGGCGAGGTACTGCTCCACAGGGTGCTCCTCTTCGGTGGCGTTGTTGANGTTGATGTGATTGACCAGGGAGAGCATCACCCCGAAGAGCATCTGCATGACGCCGAGGATGACGCTCACCTTCATCTTGAAGCTGTTCGTGAAGATGATCTTATTGTCAGGGGCCAGCTGCCAGGCGGGGTCAATGCCGAAGGGGTAGACTGAGTCGGGTCGTTTCTCGAGGTAGCGCACCTTGGCGAGGTACTGCTCCACGAGGTGCACCTCTTCGGTGGCGTTGTTGAACTCGATGCGGGCGATCTCCGGCGGAGGCACGGCCCAGCTGCTGCCGAAAAAGTTGACCGACTTGGCGAAGACGTCATTGTAGATGAGGCCGGTGTAGATGCTGAAGGCGCCCATCAGCAGGATGATGTAGCGGCCGTCAAAGAACATCAGCCAAATTTCATTGTTCGACGCCTTGGCGAGTCGCCGCTCAAAGAGCACCATCCACAGGGCGAAGAGGAGCATCACGAAGCCGTGGCCAGCATCGGCGAACATCACCGCAAAGAGGAAGGGGAAGCTGATGGCCGTGTAGGGGGCGGGGTTCATCTCGCGGTATCGCGACACGCCGTACGAGTCGACGATGCCCTGGAAGCCGGAGGTGAACTTGTTGCTGCGATAGTAGGTGGGCGGCGTCTCCGTGGTGGGCACCACCTCAATGACCGCCTGCCCTTCGGAGATGCCCGCCGAGCGGCTGGCCACCGCCTCGACGCGGGCCCGCAGTCGACCGAGGTCGGTGGCCGCCGCCCAGCACTGGCCGATGAAGCCCTTCTCCGTGCGCCGGAAGAGGTTCATGGTGGCGAAGACGGCGCGCAGCTTGCGCACCTGCACCGTCCAGCTGGGCAGGTTTTCCGGCTGCGCCAGGGCGCTCAACATGCGGTACTTCTGCTTGAGCGTCTGCTCGATGACCACCTTGATGTCGCGCATGTTGGTCTCCACCTGGACAGACAGCTCGCGGAAGGCGGCCGCCTCGGCGGGCNGTTGGTCTCCACCTGGACGGACAACTCGCGGAAGGCGGCCGCCTCGGCAGGCACGCGGTAGACGGTGGCGCGGAAGCCCTCGCAGATCTTGCTCAGCTTCGCCGCCAGCTGCCGGCCCTGCGCCATCACCAGGAAGACCTTCTTCGCCACCAGCTCCTCGGTGGCCACGTCGTCGATGGGCGCCTCAATGTCGAAGAACTGGACGAGGGCATTTTGGCCGCAGATGCGCCAGATCATGGTGTGGAAGGGGGCGGCCTTGTCGGCGCGGATCACTCCCGTCACCGTGTTCAGCTTGTTGCTCGGGTCGAAGAAGCCGAAGGTGCGGGCAAAGGCGGCCAGCTGACTTTGCTGCTGCTCGCTGCCCAGGTACTCGCCCCCGGTCAGAATCGACCCGGAGCGGCCCTTGATGCTGCCGCCACTGCCCATGGCTGAAGAAGACGTTCCCGCCTCGGCGGCATCGCCACTGAAGCTGCCTGATCGCGTAAACTCGAGCGCCTTGTGCGTTTTGAGCAGCACCTGGTTCATCTCGTTGAACTCCTGCGCCTTCAACCGCAGCGAGTTGAGGTGCTCATTGACGTCGCGGAGATTGCGGTCCAGCTCGTCGACGTTCGCCTCCAGGCGGATGATCTCCTTGTAGCGCGGGACGTTCGGCTCGCTGGTCAGCGGGCTCATCGTCACAATGGGCGTCATCGAGGAGGATGAGGTGTAGTAGTCACTGGATTCGGAGAGGGCGTGCTGGTCGTTGGCCTTCTGCATCTGATCATCCAGGTAGGTGAGGCGACGGGCGATGTCCTCCACGCGACGCACCTCGTCGACGTACGTGCGCTGAAAGGAGTTGACGCCGACGTTCAGGTCGCGGAATTCGGCGATGCCTGTCAAAAAGTGAGGAGTTATTTGACAAATTGGTTTGGGAAAGTTAGTTTAGTCATCAAGGTTTCGCAACTGTGTTTTACTTACCTAGGTCACCCAGCTCACAGGTGACGTCAAAGACGATGCTCGGCTGCAGGTACAGGTGACAGAGGTTCATCACCTCGGAACGAAAGACACCCGTGCCCACGGGGGCCGACTGTTTGGGCATGATTGGACTACTGGCTGTTGTTTGAGTGACAGAGAATAGGAAAGTGAGCAATTGCTGAAATGATAAAAAAAGTTAGTTGATTCAGAGAGGAATGTTGACAAAAAGAACGGCTGGCTACTTTTTAGTTCGTTGACAGCCAACACTCGTCCTCTACATTGACTGAGCGAGTGAGTGAAAGAAAGAAAAAGCGAGAGGCGTTTTTGGCAATCCTCGATCTCAGTGTCAAGTTGAGTGATTTTAAGTTAAAAGGAGAGAAAGAGAGGGAAAGTATTACTTCTGAAGTGGCCACTTGGGAGAGCGCCCAGGCGGTGGTTAGTGTTGCTAGTGTACAGCTGCAAAAAAGTTTAGCTTCAGTTGCAGCTGCAGTCAAACTGAACTGACACTGTATGTCTCTGTATGCAGATAGAGGATGATAGTGTTGGTGGTTGTAGTGGCCACGTCAATGGATGAGGAAGCAGGTAACAAAAGAAGAAGAAGCAAAAGAAATGGCGGCAGACAGCAACAAGTCTTAGTCTAGCCTAGCCTAGTTTTGCCACCTAAAGCACAACTGATATTGTCTGAGGCCTCAGTGGACAGGCTTGTAGTGGTGATTAGTGGTGGTGGTGATCAGTCTGGGAGAAGGAAAAAGGCTGATGGTACTACTATTGCACAGACACTGACACAAAGTCTTAAGTGGATGTGAAGGTAGCCGGTGATTGGTGATGGAATTAGTTGATAACACCACAGTGGTAATCTTCATCAGCTGCTGCTGCCGCTGCCGATGCTGCCGCCACCGTTACTGATCATCACAAATGTTTGTGCCTGCAAATATGGTAACCAGCGGCTCTATCAGAACTCAATTACCAGTATTTTTCTTTTTCTCTCGTTCTCTTCTCTTCCTCTCTAATCGACCTGTCACTGGTGATCACTTTCGCTGTTGATGTTGCTGCTGCTGCTGCCCGGTTACAAATGGCGTTCATGCCCTTTTGCTTATTTTTATTTTGGTTAATTACCAAAATAGGCAAAATATATGCACACTGCAGCTCTCTCTCTCTCTCTCTCT